ATGTCCAAGCTTTCTGAAAATAACTTAAATGATAAATAATTTGTTTTTGTAAGATACAAATTTATGAAAAGATAGTGATTTCCTATTGGATTATTTAGTTTGAACTTATTAATAATTATAGCCTTGAAAAATTAAACTACATCATGATACATATTTAGTGACCAAATTTGGGACGAAAAAGGAAAAATTGGCATTCATATGAAAATAATTAAGGATATTTACGCTTACCTCTGGCTGTGCGAAACTTTGCGACAATATTAAGTGATTTTGAAACATAGCGTCCTGAAGGCACGCTCACTGCTAGAGCGGCCTAATCGCCAGAATTTCGAGCACAGTCCTTCCTCAATTCTATTATTCTGGATGTATCAACAGCAATTAAATTACAGCTAATACAGCAATCGTTAAACCTTATATAACAAACCATGAAAATTAATTAAAAATTCACATGTTCTGCACTGGGATCTGAACCAGCGTGTGGCTTATAATGAGTGTAATATAAGTTAGTCATGGATAAATAATATACACAAAGAAATGAGTTAAACTTTCATAGCAAAGCCTTATTTAAAAAAAAAAGTATGTACAACATAAATATTGAGTGAATATATTACAAATATCTCATTAATATAATCATAAATCATAACATAACAAACATTACCATAATATACATTCAAAATGTTCATTAAAAACATTTTTGGCATAGAATTGCGAACCAGATTAATTTCTTTTCATGAAAATGTTTTCATTCTTTAATCATTGTTGAAAAATCAAAAGCGAATTTTTTTAATTAATAAGTATGAGTGAATTTTCTTATTAATTTTAGATTTAATTGATATTCCTCATTTCCTCCTTGTAAAATTTTATTCTAGAAAACAATGGTTCTAATGACTGGTGGGGGGTCGCACAAATAAATTTAGATTTTCAAAAACTTTGTTTTACAACATTCAGAAAAATGTTTCATTTGTTTCAGTGATTTTTTTTCTTCAGTTTTTTTTATTAAATAATGTTTATTACAATAGATTGTGTTTTTACAAAACTTTCTGAAGTGAACCCTCGCCATTATAATTCAGCTGGACATTTTAACACATTAAAAATATTTTTTATGTCATCAAAAATTAAAAATATAAGCTGCGTGGAGCTAAATAGTTCAGTTTTTCATTTAATAAATTATACAAATTGGTCAGTAGTAGTATGAATATAAAATAGTGGGTTTTTCAAAATTTTCAAGAATTTGTTTGACATCCTTTGGATGTGACAAGATTTTCATTTGCTTAAATTTCAATAGGTAGACATAAAATTTTCCCAATAACATGAAAAGTAAAGTGATAAGATTTGTATTGCTCATTCCTATATTTTTTTAAGCACCTAGCTTGTTATATTGAACAATCTGATATTTTTTGTTGCCAACAAATCTGTGAATTAGTTGACATAATGACAACCGCTGCAAAAATGAATTTTATAATTTTTTTGTTTTCTAAATTCAACATTTAACATCTGTTTTGACTTTGACGTTATTGACAGAGTGTGTCTGGCATCCAAATTCTGAATTGAGTCCCAATCATCGACAAGTCGTCGACTATCTGTCCGCGACAATAAGTTGTGGACTGATTTATGTGTGGTTCCAAACAAATTTTAAAATCAATACAAAGGCACAAATCATACTACCTTTCCTAATATGAGAATGATCAGGGGCGTACACAAAACCCTCCTCCATATATTTGTTTTATCTACTTATTGCCTTTGTTTGGATAAATTACTGTCGTTTTTCTTCTATTGAATGAGCTGCATCTAAAATGCACATACAGTATGACCAGAGATATACATTACTGAAACGAACATATATATTGCTCACCTATAATTGAATCGTTTATTTCAGAAACAACCTAAGAATTTTTTGTCCATATTGAGTTTATCACATTAAATTTGTAGTTTCAGAGTAACACATTTAATGGAGACAAAATCTAACATCCATAAACATCCTTAGTTATATGACAATTTAAAATTTTCTTTTAATTCTAAAACAACTTTATTCCGGGCCCTAGTTCAAAACATTTTCTTCACCTCCTGAAAATTCTCAAAAAGTGACTTAGGTTGTTTCTGAAATAAACGATTCAATTAATATTAATAGATTTAACAAAAATGACAAAGTTAGTGTCTTTTATAATAGCCAATGATATGCTCAATATGCCCATCATTTTGTTGGAAGCATAGCTCAAGGCGAGCTCCAACCCATTTAATGCTTGGTCCATTATTTCTGCTAATATCCTATGAACGATTATAAGCATCACATATATAAATGGTTTATTTAGTAAAAAAAAAAAAAAAAAACAAATTTTACAATACATCTTCACATTTAAAATAAAGTAAAATAATACAAAAGTGAGGAATCAACACATTTATAATACAATAAAAATACATAATTATACAGTGCACGTACTTGTAAAATGATAACATAATGTCAACTATAGAAAACACAATAAAAGAACAAGAAAAAAAAAAAACATCAAATGGTAACCAAGTACTCACGTAGTTTTCTTTTAAATATTTCTGTATTTGAAGAGCATTTAATATCTTCAGGCAAATTATTAAAAGCCTGTACACCTTCAAAAAACACTGAATTTTGTGCACATTTTTTCTTGGCCTTATAATAAAATTTTTCTTAATTCGTGTATTGTGTTATGAATTGATTGGTTCCAATCTTGAACAGCTCAGTATTATCCTCATACCTCTATTCTGCAACTTTTGCAATCGTTGCAACTCATTCTGGTTAAGCAAATACAATATAGTGGTACAATAGTTAAAATGAGATAATATTAGAATATTATAAATTATTATTTTAGCCCATTTGCTGAGATGTGGAGAACAGCGCCTCAAATAGTTTATTTTAATTTATTAGCATGTTCCTTAAATTGTAAATTTGTATCAACCATGACCTCTAGATATTTATATTTTTCAACTTTCTGAAACTTTATTCCATCAACAGAAACACTGCGATGCTGTATTTAATTTTTTTAACTTTCCAGTACCCCCAATTAACATCCACTTTGTCTTTTCGTAATTTATTTTCAACGAGTTTCCGATACAATAATCATATATTTTACTTTTAGAACTATTAATTTCTTCAAAACAAGTTTCAGTGTTTTCATGGGTATCATCCGCAAATAAGTGTATTAAGTATCTTTCGACTACACCAGCAATGTCATTATTATAAATTAAAAAGGGTAGCGGACCCAGAACACTATCCTGTGGCACCCCCATATTATTCTCTAAAGTATCCCAAACACAATTACCTTCACCTTCTGTTTCTTATTTTCCATATAATGACCCAACCAGTCCAGTGCACAACCCCCAAACCAATAGCTCTTAATTTCATTAATAATCTAACCCTATTAGTCTCAAATGCCTTCTGTAAACCTAGAAACACCGCCAGTGTAACCAAATTATTTTCAATTGATAACTTCCAGTCATGCAACACCCACTGTAAAGCAGTTTCACAGTTTACTACGGAATCCGGATTGCATATTACTTAACAAACTATTCCCCACTAAATAATCAATAATTTGAAGATATATTTACATTTTCTATTAGTTTTCCAACAGCACTGATCAAATTTATCGGTCTTAAATGGGTAGCCTTACTTGGATTCGAAATTTTTGGTATCGGAATTATTGTAGCAATCTTAATACTGTCTAGAACTAAGCTTGTTTCAATAGAAACATTTATGTAATGTAATAGAGGTTGGGATAAACTCTCAAAACATTATTTTAATAAAATTGTGGATATTTTGTTTGGACTATTTTTATTTGACATTGAAAATAATATTTCTTTTAATTCATTATAATTAATTAGTTTAATATTTACAAAAGTTTCAATTCACTTAGATGAGGTATAATCGGATAATTATTAATAGAAGGTATCTACTCAGATATTTGTTTAATACTCTTTATGTAGTAATAATTTAAATCTTTTGAAAAAGTAAGATCCTGATGATTGTCATAAATATTGTCGAATTCAATATTAGTAATAGTAATACTGCTTGCGATATTAGCTGTTGGAATGAAAGATTTCAAAGTTTTCCACATCACAGTAGGGTTACCCTTGTTTAAATCTATTTTAGTTTACAAGTATTTGCTTTTTCATGTTTAATTACATTCACTGCTTTATTCCTATTACATTATATATTTGCCAGTTTTCCTCTGATTTATTAGTAATAAATGTTTTATAACTTATCTCTCACACTAGTAGCAACTCTAACCTGATCATTCCACCAGTTCTGATAATATCGTAAAATTTTAACTTGTTTTTTTGGTGCTACATCATTAACAACTTTCAAAAATTTATCTAAAAAATCAATTTTTTGTTAATATCGTGTAACCAATAATGCCATGTAATATATTTTAGATTATTATTAACTATTGTATAATCAATAAACCTACCTCTAACTAACTGATTTTTTGTGTTTCTATTACTTTAGTTGTAATGTCTGAGTTTTTAATAATTAAATGTGTAAATTATTTTACCAGATTCTTAAAACCTGTATCAGTAACAATATTTTTTAATCTTTTTGAATAAATTTAATTACTATAACCAATCAATGTTGAAATCCCCAACCAATATAACTTCTAAGTTAGCATCAGTTAAATTCAGCTCACACTATTCTTCAAAAAAGTCTAGAAACAAATTCACTCCAGTACCAGGAGATCTATTAAGGCATTCTAACATATCATTTTTTATTGGGTTTTAAGCATCTTGTTCACAGACTATGTTGTATACCCTGACAGATAACAAGTTAGTGTTTGTTTAAAATAAGTTCAATAGCAGTGTCACTTCCATAGCAACTCTAGGGTTACAATTTCGGTACTGTATCTTATTGTACTTGGAATATGAACTAACTTTATGTAGCTACAGAATTTTGGGTACATAAAACAAAAATTATCACTTTATTTTTCATACCAGCTTTTTGGCCTCTAATGAACGTTACGCATTTCTTCTTGTATCACCAGGTCTCGAAGTCGTTCACGAAGTCGTTCAAGGGATCGCAGAAGCCGTACCAGAAGCAATTCTCGCTCACGAAGCCGTTCCAGGAACCGTTCAAGATCTGTTTCCAGGAAAAGGAGCCGTAGCCGTTCCCGCACGAATGATAAGCGGTCAAGGTCTAGATCTCATTCTAGATCAAGGTCTCGCAGCAGGTCCGTTAAGGAGAACGGAAATTCGAAAGATTAGGTAGCATTGCTATTTAATCTTTTACACATTTTTAACTGATGTTAAATTTAAATGTATTGTATACGTTTATTTTCCAAAATATAATTTATCTTTTCATTATTTCATAATCATGCAGTATTCTTTATCAATAAATTTGACATAACGAAATTATCTTTCTTCAATAAATTGCATATTTCTCAAAATGTACAGCATATTATTGTTTCATGCTTGCCAATATTAACACTGATGATAAAGGCTAGCGCATGGAGTTAATAAATTAACCTATGTCTATCTAAAGTGCAATGAATTGTTCTTAAATGTATTATATTTTAAATTAACTTGGAGAATCACGTAAATAAACGGATATTTTGACTAGTGTATTCAGGTTAGGTCTAAGTTATGTTGTCATTAGTTGCTTAATATAATTTTTTCATTTTTTTTTTATTTTATAATTCAGATTAACAAGCCACATAGATTTTTAATTAAATGTATATGCTTTTATGTAATAAAATTGGTGTTGTAAAGAGGTACTGTTATATTTTTTAGATTATTTTTTACATATTCCAAAGTAATAATAAATAATTAAAATAACAATACTTACAAAATATACAGGATATGAGAGAAATATTTGACTTGTCACTTGCAAAAAGTTTATGATCTTTTTTTGCTTTCGGATAAGAAAATTAATATAACAGTTAACTTTATGTATCAGCTAATACGCAATGAAACTCAAAAATGTTATGTAATAATTTATCGGGCGTACCAAGATTTTTCTCTGCATATATCTGAAACGGGGCAGAATATCTAGATTTACTATAGTTTAATATTCTTATTTTTACTTAGTAATAACTGTCAAACATCTAGTAATCACTAGGGATGGGCGATTGTCAAGGTTAATGTACCAAGACCTTGATAATAATCAGCTATTTTTGTTGAATCTAAATCTCGAGAATATTTTATTATCAATTTGATGAGACATGAGCTTTAGCTCTAGGGCTTATGTAACATTTTCGAGATTTTAACCGCTTACCAACTGTTTAAGAGCACTGATAGTATGGGACTAGTAAATATAGATTAACCTCTCACTCTTTCCAACATTTCTGTCGTGCAATAAAGGAGATATCTGCTAGGAAAAAATCTGGAACATCTGGTATAATACTAAGTGACAATTAGGGAAACTCGAATTACCTTAGTTGGTAGTAAAGCTAAATAGCTGTTTGAAAGGGAAATTTTTGTAGTTAGAGAAGAGGGGGTACACGAAAAATTAAAGATCATATTTCTCATGTGTATTAATTTTCTTTTCAAGTAACTATTTAGCTTTATCCGTTGATGAAAGGTTTAATTTCTATAGTTTCCTTACTACTAACATTTTTTGTTCATATTTTTATTCTTCTTTTGACGCTTAGCAAGTAACTCTTTGTAACGTTTTACAAGTTCTTTTTCAGAATCTTTTTCATCATAATAGTCTGTCTCTCTCTAATAATAGTTGATGATAAGCTTCTTTTAAAGAGTCATAAGGTTTTTCTTTATTTCTCTTCAAGAAACGTTCTTAGTTTGTCATCGTTTGTTTTAAGAAATTTGCATGTTCGCCATGCTCCTTATTCTCCAAAATCATTGAAAATCTGGTCCTTTTTCTTACGACTTTTGGTAATTGTTTAACTATTATTTCTTTGGCTAGAGCATAAAAACATGTTTTTGGAAGGGTTCCTGTTAACGATCATTTCTATTCTTTCAAAGCTCATCAAGGCTTTTTGAAAACGTTGGGTTAATTTAGATTCTCTGAATGGTATCAACCTTTTATCTTTTATCTGTTGACGTTTCCTTGTATTTTCTATGCATCTTTATATAACTAGTAATGATGTATTAATCTTATTGGATTCCTTAAGACGATCCTCTAAATTTAAAGTCTTTTTTAATCTTTCAGAACCAGTCTAGTTACAAAAATTTAAATTACTGGTGAACACATCGTTGCTATTCTGTGAAGACTGCACTAATTTTATAGTGAAAATGCAGTGCGACCTACTCAAGTGTGAGTATTGCTGTCGCTGCATAATTGAGGTTTTGCAGCCCATACTACAAAATCTGTTAAGCTTCTAAACCATTAGAAACATTAAGAATTATTGCAAGGTTTTTAATATATGTATTATCATTTCTTGATTTTTCCAATTCAAGTTTTGAATGAGTTTGTACTTTGGAAACAGGAGGCACTAGTAAATCAGTATACGATTTACTGATCAGTAAATTGTATACTGTTTCATTGTATTGTCACGGGTCGGAAATTAATCGTTTCAATATTTGTAATAGGTTACGTAAAGTTGAATAAATAAAACTCACCTAAATTTATGAATAATTGTATTTTTTCCATTTATTAAAACTAACCTATACATATTGTAACTTGACAAACCGGGCCCTAACCTAGTTTTCCAAATACCCTTAACCTTGGCCTAAATTTCGTCTAGTGGATCCCCACGAAGTGATGTTAAAACCCCCAGAATTACGTTTAGAGTTCAATGTAGCTGTAATGGAGGAAGAACAAAGTAAACACAGAGATTAATTTGGAATACTGTTATTTAAAATCTATTCTTTTGTACAGCCGGACATTTAGATTATGTGCCGTTTTTAGGCTTAACATTATGTTTATGTAGGCATTCCAATGTGTCATTTCTAACCTCAGAGCTTTTAGTTCCCATAAAAGGGTAAAATAAAAGTCGGAAGTACTTTAGTATATTTGTTGGTCTCCTAATATACAATCACACGTTTCCACGGAATACTGAATTGCGCATTGTCTAAAAAGAGTACAGCGGTAGTACGGGGAGTTCGGTGAAATATAAAATAATGTTTGTAACATGTGTAAAAACCGGAATTTAGATTTACCTCACCGTGCGTCACGCCTTTCCCTAATATTCCAATGCCGTAATGTACTGACATACTGAGTCCTGTATGGAAAACACTGAACGGTCGATCGTAGAACACCTGATATAAAGGGGGATGCCCGTCAGGCCCACTTTTGGGGTACCTCAGTAGAGATCCATCCTGCCTCTATCAGGCTTTAATTTACATAGCCGCAAGGGAAATACCATTTTTAGGTCCTTACTATTGAGGTCCCTGGCGGTCCATGGTGGCCTAAGGCTCTTTTTCGGCGCGATGCTCTTTTGCTCTGTCGATTGATAAATCATTGTTATTAATCACAGTTCTGAGGATACGTTAGCTAGTCCACAAACACAATTTCACCTATTTATTCTAAATAAATAACAAACATACAGACTACTTCCGCGTAATGTTGAAATTCACTCGTAAGGGGGTGAATTAGGGAGAGTATTATTATATTATTATTATTAATGTCCCGCTAAAGATATGTAGATATGTACAAATAAATCCGACCCTCCTCAATATTCATGATTATACCCGCCGCTGTAAATATCTCCTTTTTCCCGAAAAATTGATATACAAAACTAACTCTCCTTATGGCTAAAATGACACATTTGTCTACCCAAAGAACGACAGAAAACATATTTTTTAACTGGTATCTAACTTTAAAATATATACAAATCAAGGCATTTACCTTACTAATCTACATCTGTTTGCCATTTAAAAGTAAAACCGAAAGTGCGTTTCCTCTTTACTGAAAGGGGCAGGTACTGTTTACAGACAACCAAAACTTTACAATTCCGCCCTTTGGCCATAAATCTAAATGACTTAATTTATTACTTGAGAGTGTTGACCAACTTTACAATAATTAATATTTATGACAACAATTTTTTCCACAATAAACGTTTATCAATGAATACCAAAAATATGACAATAACACAGACGCGAATTTTCCCGCTAATGAATATAAAAGTAATAAAGTGATACCTGTAACCCATCAATGTTAGTATAAACTCTCCACCGGAATATATGAATATTAAATACTAGTTTGATTACTTTAATAGTGCGATTATCGTTTTAATTCTACGTAAAAGAAACCTTACAGAAAAAAAAGTATACCGCTGATAAAAGCGTCTACCTAGCGCAAGTTCGTCGGGTGACGAAATCCACTACGAACGTCGCCTAGAGTAGTACTTTTAATCATTTAGTAACATTTTATAATGTTGAATCGGAGATATAAAATATCTGGCATTTAACTAGACTAGTGTGGTATCACCAGTATCAGTTACGCCAATATTTTAGTCGCTCGGCAGATACAACCTTACAAAACAGTTCTAGGAGCGAAATCTGGTTCTATTTAACGTGTATCTGCTTGGTCAACCTGACTATATCTCGTTTTACTTATATATAAAATATAAGAAAAAGGTGGTCATCCTAAGGACAACTGGATATCTATGCAGAAGCCGTCGTTTATAGAAACTAATTTCTCTACTCCGTCGATATCTTTTATTTCCGTTCTCAAAATATAACAAAAACGCAGCCACCGTAAGGGTAGCGATATCTCTTTTTAATTATATTTGAAGAATATAAAGAAAAAGAAGTCACCGTGGCGGTAACGTGAAAATTTGCGTTTTTTGTTAACTTGACTCGGTGAAAATGAAAAAGCTAATCCCCCAGCCCACAAAAACCCCGGTATTTATACTTAAATTTCCCATACATGCAAATGTATCGGAAAGAGAACGACTGTGAACTCGGTGCATAAAGACTATAAAGCCCTGTATTAATTCCTGAATATAGCCCTATCGTTTTACATCTGGTTTTTTGCTAACGTCCGTCACAGTTTACACGTCGATTTCTTTTCCCAGAAGTAATTAAACGGCGCCTACGAGTCGGCAGAAGTTGGGATGTTGTTTGAATTCGAAATAATAATTTGAATATATTATGTAATATATAAGAATTATTTAAATTAATTATCAACCCTCGGTTGTCGGATTTCACTATGTATATTGTTTATTTACGTGCGAATATCAAATCTTGATCATGACCTTGTGATAGTTCTTCTATTCTTCATTTGCTTTTAATTAGGTTAATCAACCATTTAATAATAATGATAGAATGTTTATTGACTACTTTACCTACTTTTAGATACATTT